AACCGAAGGATTCCCCCTCCCCCCTTTTAGGCTCAAACGCTATAGTTTTTTTTACCGCTTATGATTATAACGCAATGAAAACCAAGCTTTACCCTCCATGCAACATATAGTCAACATGTGTTTATGTATAGTTTAAAACACGAGAGAGGTCACGAGAGAGAGTGTTTTATCAGGTATAAAGATTCGAGCCGATAAACCTGATAAAACACGATCTCGAGTGTTTAAACGGCTTAAAAAACTCCAACACTAATTTGAAACTCAAATCCGTTAAAATTCTTGGAAAATTGCCGTACAAATATGTTCAGAGATAAATGGGGCAAACTGATCATGCGCAAATCACTTTACAAAGCACTCTTGTTCCCGCATTGAATACACATAAAGTAAAATAGAAACGCTGTTGTCTGTTCACTGAAATCAGTTGACATCCTGCATTGGTCAATGATCAGGTTTCAAACCTAATAGTTTGCTAGGGTCATGGACCTTTATATCTGATAATGACCCATTATTAGTATTCTTAATTAATATAAAGAGTACTAATAAGGAGTGTTTTATCAGATATAAAGCTCCTTGCATGTGACCAAATAGGCTCATTCTATTGGCCTACTAGCTCATTAATTATGTATGAGTTTTTTAAAGTTGGCATCTCCTCTAGTTCGTGTTACGGGGCAAAATATTGCTTTTTACCTTATTTCAAAACTTCAAGCAATACAAATATATGACTCATTTATATCTATTAAAAACAATTGCGGGAAAATATTTGTTTYGGAATTATCCCACATCACAGAAATTTTGATTCAAAAGATGAAAGAACAAAAGGATGGAGTAAATGACCGTCATTTACTCCAAATATTTCGCCCAAATTGTTAAGGATTTGTATCAATGTCTTCTTGAAATCTGTTGCATAGTGATTATTAGACCCATATGGATAGTTCTATTTGATTTCCAAGTCGTTTCTAATGTTTCACGATTTTCGTCCAAGTAGCCCTTTAAAGTGTTGATGATCTTTTCATCTGTTGTAGGCTCTCTGCACGCAGTTGTTTACGATACAAATTTGAAAGCGGTCACACACCTGGACTCTACCAATACAACCTCTGCAAGCTCATTTGGCTGCATGTCTGCCGCTAAAAATGCACCAAAATTTCTAAAGGTCTCAGGTACACCTAATCTGAAGTTTACTATGACTATTGTCTTCGCCCATCAGCCTTTAAATGTGCTTTATGACGGCAGTATTACCTACATGGAGTTCAACAATTCACAGTTGCTGTATATCCTTCCAAGTCCAACATCCCCAAGCGCTCAACTTGATATCGCCGTTAAGTCAGACAGCAAAGGTGAAGGTGTTCTAAGAGTTTCGCGCTACTGTGAGCAAGCCATGAAATCGGGGGAACTTCACGACAAGAAGCCAGCTCTGTTTCTTACGTTTGAAAAACGAGGACTAATCACTGTGTCCAAAGTCTCTCGTCCAGCGTTCAGTACGTCAGAGCCACTGTACGTGTTTGTCAGCGTTCCTGAACCAAAAACGTATTCCATTGCAGTCAAGATGTCATTTGGTTATAACTACCTACCTATTCTGTGGATCACACTAGTTACAATAATTGGTGGTCTCTTCATCGCTGTGTGGGCGTTCTTTTCGTTTTATTATAAGCAAGATTCAGCAAATGCTCATGAGGATCAGCCCAATGGAATATCAAAATTCCAGTTAATCAAGATGTTATGGAAGTACTGGAGACATGTTAATGAGCTTCGGCCATTTTCTTATACAACCTGTATCGTTGGGTGCGTGTTAGTTGTCGGAGGCCTACAGTTTGCACATCTTCGCTGGGAAACGATGATCGAGACTGGTAACAGGGATAGGTGTTTCTACAATGACCTGTGCTATCGTGTTAGTCATTGGCACGATTTACCGCTCAATCTTATGATGAGCAACATCCCATACGTCGTGCACGGGCTGATGCTTGCTCTCACGCTGTTTGGAATGGAACTTCACGTCATTTACAAAGCTAGAGCTGATGCATTGAGGGAGTGTGGTGCGATGGGTTCTGTACGAGCTCGAAATCGAGGTAATCGACAGCAGCAACATGAGCGATTACCTCAACACGCACTTGAATGCAAAGACTTAAATCTCCATTTACCAGAGTTGACGATGCCGACCTTCAACGGTAACCAGAATCGTCTCGTCCAGCTTTACACGTACGCTTACAAGAGGAAATACAACTTTTCAATTGGCTATGCCTTCGCCTGGGCCCTCGTCTTTGAAGGGGTCTTCTCCACCRTCTACCATCTTTGCCCTTCTCGTGCCACCTTTCAGCTCGACACAGCCTTCATGTTTGTTATTTGTGGGATGATAATAGTCTCGTTGTTYAATGGYTTATCGGATGTGGTYGGAAAGGACGATAAAGAGGACGATAAAAGGCCAATCGGCAACAATAACTTCTTTCTTGCTGTGATAGTGCCTCTTTACCTCTTCAACTACCTTGGTTTTGTTTACAATGAGTTTATCACGAGCTCTACTTTTGATGTCATCTTCATCATCCTGTTGGTTGGCTGGTTCTTGGCAATGTCCGTCTGGTCCTTCTTTAAACTTRAWGTCACCTTCAAGAGCTGTAAATGCAATGACAACGCTTTCAAAGTAAGCATGCTTACAGTCGCAATTGCRTTGAATGCCGTTTTCCTGGTCATTTTTTACCGTGATTTTTYCCTAGCGTTCTTGTATTCGTGTATTGCAAATGGCATTTTGAGTGTGTTTGCAAAATGCGTAATCAATCGTTACTGGCCAAAAGCTGACGAGCAGCGGCAAAATGTGTCTAAGATAATCTGGGCACTTCGTGTTATCTACGTGGTTGCATTGGTGGTATTAATCGCTTTAGCATTGTACGTGTTCAAAGACCTTGCAACAACGAATAAGACGGAAACTCCAGCCCAATCGCGAAACAGCAACAAAGACTGCCAATGGCTGACTTTTTTCGATTGGCACGATATTTGGCATTTGCTTTCTTCGTTTGCTTTGCTAATGGCCGTCTTTCCTCTCATGTACATTAGCAAATGACTGTTTTTGTCAGGACCTTGAAGCTGCGAATGGCAAGATACCTTTGTATAGATCATCYATTGGTATAACGAAAACCTTCAGTGTAAGAAATGAAAAAATGGATAATATAACTAGAGGGCTAGGAGTGTATCAATATAGACTTCAATATGCATGAATTGATACTTATATGTGGCAGCTGGGACACAAGGCAATATTAGTTAGTAAGCCTTCATCACAAGGGCGGGGCCAGGGGATGATTATAATTAGGACGACTAGCTAACTACTTTGGGTGTAGAAATTTAGAAATAGGAATTATGTCCAAAGTAAAGAAAACCCTCAGTTGAGACATTCTGAAAAACAATATAAGGAACGTTCAAAGGTTCTGGATTGGGCTCTGCACCGTGTTAAGAAAGGATCCCACTAGGACAAGAGCAACGGTTAATACATTTTATCATATAATTATCTATGAAATACCTATATTTCTCCATTACGTAAAATTGATATTTTCACTAGTGAAAATAACATGTTATTTTATCTTCTCGTGTTGAAAATCTCTCGTTCGCTACCCTCACTCGTGAGAGATCTTTTCAACACTCGAAGATAAAATCCGTATCTCCGCGCGCCCATGTAATATCCTCTATATACTAGTAAAATGCACTACATAAAACATGCGGTAACAAGATTAAACTTTATTGATAATAAGTGGATACAGAATAGTATTAACTTTCTTCATATTAACCTTAGTGTTTGCCCATTAATTTTTAATGTATGCACTTATGATAAAGCATTTATCTCTCAGTTTTTAACGAATATAGATGTTACCATGGGGGTTGTCCACACCATTCAACTGGTTTCCTTTGTTGGTACCGCAAGGGTCATGGGTCGGAGCGTTGCTCTTTGTGTAGGCATCATAATAATAATACAAGCTTCCTGATTTACGACTCAAATATGGTCCATGGTTCCCAGCCTTTATTACGAAATAGTCGGGTGCAACATTCTGGCATTTGGCCACAATATTCTTAACTACCTGGAACAAATTATACGATCAGCAATTAATCAAAATGTAAGGAGTACAACTACCATGATTTCTTGTCTTCCTTGGGCGCTTAAATTCAAGATGGCGATTCTGCACAAAAAATGCATTACGTCATTTACTCACTAAGATTGAGTTTTTTGTTGATCGCAGATCCGTGTTTTTATATAGTGCATATTTCACTTGCAGGATTTGCTTCCGTTGGTTGAAGATTTTACGTAATATATACAATATGAGCGGGCGATCTGTATGAGGATTTAAAACAGCGAGCTGAAAGCGAGCTGTTTTAAACCTCATACAGATCGCCCGCGAATATTGTATATTACTTATGAAACGTAACGTTGAGGTAAACTAGCTCAGGTTTTAAAGAAACTTTTGAAAAAAAAATCAATCTGACTGAGAAAATCAGAGTTAAAGTTTATGCAAATGAACAAGAAATCTGTATGTAATATACAACTCTCTTCATGGGCTATGATTTCTATTGTGTTTTGCCTTATGAATATTAATGAGTTTTATAATGTGCGATACAGTAGAAACCCGCATATAAGAACCTATGCATTTTTGGGTAGTAGCCTAAACAGGTTCCCATATAAATGGTAGTTAACACAATTTTAGGCTACTTGGGTTCTTAAAATAGGCTCTTAATTCTAGAGTAAAGCAAATAAAACTTAGCTTCAAAACAAGATGCCTGGTTATTTGCCTATTTTCTGAAAACTCTTGGAGACAATCGTAGACTGTATCAAATGGCATAAAAATGCATATAATCTATATAGATGTAACTGGATATCTGGGTTACGATTTGGAAAAAAAATTCCTATCATTTTTTTGTCATTTTTTGAAAATTCTTTATAAACTTGAATATGTCTTTAACACTATTACTTGTTTTCCAGTTGGATCAATGAAGTACGCAAATACCTGTTTGAACGTGCATTTTTATGTGATTTGATACTGTCTGTGATTGTCTCCATGAAGTGAAAAGTAAAAATCCAAGATGGCGACCTGAGGTCACGTGATTTGGTTTCTATGGCAACAACAACTGCTAAAATAACTTCGCTTGTAAAAATACTGACGTTGTTGGCCAAGTATGATGAGATTCTATTCAAATGGCGATTTTATACAATATATAAATTGCTGTAATTTTCAATATTTTTCTGTGAGCCATGCCTTAAAAAGTATATATATGTCCTACGGTGTTCCACAAAACAAGTTTCATTTTAAATACTATTACCTTGCAGTTAATAGTGCCAGTYTTAAATTTTACCAAACTACCTGAGCCTTCAGTATAATTTGATCCAGTGGTTGATGTTGGATTTAATCATAAACTCAGAGCCAATCGTCTTCCACAGTTTGAAGTGCATGGCCGCGTAATGGGTCTTGCTTAGAGGTGGTTCCGTAGATCTTCGGGTGTTGGTACGACCTGAAAATGGCCAGTCGGGCTGAGGAGTAACAGCATTACTACCTGATCTGTATTTAGTAATAGACAATCATGAAATGTTCGCTTTTGCGTGTTAGGCTTTTTTTTCCACTTAAGGTACCGTTCATATTTGATCGGGAAACAGAACTTTTTTTAACCACGATAGCCTCAATCATGGGATTTGAGAATTATTAAAAATACTAAGTATACTAACTATATATATACATTAATTATTGATTACAATAAAAACTAAAACTATATAACAAATTTGCCTGTTTTACAAGAGAGCCGTGCTACTTCTGCTACTTCGCTATACGGGGACGTGCCGCCAACCAGGGTATCGTTTTCAGCGATTTTACTCTGGAACAGGGTATAGTTTTCAGCAATTTTACTCTGGACTGAACAGGGTATAGTTTTCAGCGATTTCACTCTGGAACAGGTCAGGGTTTTGAGGTCCCAGCGGCACACCCCACCCTAGTTGGGGGGGGGGGGGGAGTATTCCCCCCCGGCCTAGTTGGATACAATTTTCAAATGACCAAAAACCCCTTGACCATGTCTAATTGACATGACCTCCACTGTTTTGATTCTTAAGATATACTATGTTATATTGAATATAAAAGTAATATACGATAATAATTTTGCATGCCCGCCTCTAACATGGTTTTTGTTTAGGTGGCCCCCGAATAAACCACCAGACCCCCTCCCGATAAAAAATGAATAGTCCCTAATCAAAACACGACCAAAATACATTGACTAAAGCCCTATTAAAATGTATCAATTTCTGTACATACGTGAAGAACGACTTATAATTAGTAAAAGTGTAACTGTAAACCAGCGTCCATCCTCCACCAGCAGTATCCATGTCACAATACTACCAAAACAGGTATAGGCCGTAATCTGTGGTCGATTATCGTTCAAAAAAACTGAAATCACGGATGGAAAGAAAAAAACTTCACAGATCTAAAGTTTTTTACTTACTGAATGGATTTCTGCTTGTTGGCGTTCTCTAGATGCTGCTGTTTTTGAGTAATCGACGTGGAAATTTTGAAAATCGCCGTCACGTTTGTTTTGGCCGCCATCTTGTTTTGAGCATGCGTAGTTGTCATTTTCGGGTAGGTACTTGGTGCACTTTGCATTTAGTGTATCGATGCACAGAGTTGGGATCCCTGTGTTTCGTTTTATTTCTATTAAAGTTGTTC